CGGTAATGATTGCTTTTGAATCAATACAACTTTCTCAACTTCCACAATAAATTGACATTCGAGTACCCAATTAAAACACCAGATCGGGCCGTATTCGACTGTGAAGATAGCGTCATAGATGAATAACATTTGAATACTAGATTATACCAACACTCCCTGAACATATTGAAAGTATCTGCAGATCGCAGCAGTAGCTTGAATTTGCGTTTCCAACGGTATGCAAGTCAGGGACACTAACGAAGATGGATGTGTTATGGTTTAAAGCGCCGTGTAAGCCGGTAGAAGTGCACCATCATTTCAGAGATACATCATCAGGGCGATGAGTGACTTTATTATGATGATGGAGACAGCAAGTGCCACCAAAACGGCGGTAAACTTTTTCCACAGCCATCTCCAGTTTTTTTCTCTAAAAGTTTTGCTGGCCATGGCTTTTCTTTGTATTATACAGCAATCTAATTCAATTTTGTAAACCAATGAAACTCTTTTCCCTATGTCCAGTGATCTTCCCACTGATCCTCAAGAAACCTGTTTCCTTTAACCTCACTCTCTCTCTTACATGTCCTTGTCCCCCCAACCTTCTGCCCAGGCTGCAGTATGTTGCTCCTATTGCTTCCTTTGTCCTTGCCCAATGCTCACCTTCTTCCTCTCTGGTGCAGATTTGGTTCTGCCTTCGCAGAGTGGTTCCTCACAATTCCTCAGATCACTCTGATGATAGAAGCAACAAATACCTCTAAAATGTCCGTAAACTTCTACCACATGCCTCAATTTTATAAATAAAACTTGATTAACTAAAATGCACAAGAAATAATATGATGCAGGTATATCATATAGTAAAATTATTCTGACAGCAAATCTTCATTTAAGGGATAATATTGATTGTTTTTGCTTGTGGCAGATGTGCCAGTTTATGGAATACCTCATTTGATTGATGGGCAGTTAATAGCTTAGTGGGAGGGGGGTCCACATATGGTGTAGCTATAGCTTAAGAGTTAAAAAGAAAGTCACCTTAACAGAAATGTTTTAATTATCAATTACCACACATCATTTCATAACCCTATAATAAGTGTCACTCCCATCTCAGCATATCCACCATACTGTTATTACTAAATGCAGTAAAAGGTACAAATGTGGGGTGGCCTGCTATGGCAGATTACAGACATACAGAAAAGTAGCATGTGTGTCACAGTTTATTTACTGCGTACATACAGTCTTCTTGAAGATCACAGGATGCAACAGTAAATTAAAACTGTCATGTGAAATGCCATGAAGGCACTTACTCATTCTTGACCCCAGCACTAGATCGGGGTGAATGGTCAGTGTCACACCTTACTTTACCCACCCACTAGGGAAAGCACCCTTGGCACCCAGTGGATAGGAGCCAGTATGGATGCAGAGGCTAGAAGAAAAATCCTTTGCTTCTGCTGGGAATTGAACTCTGCTCATTCAGTCCATATCAGACACTATACTTACTGAGCTAACCCAGCTTACAGGATGCAATAATGCACATGCAATTTTTACTTAGCTTCTTTCTTGTTGTATAAGAGTTATTTTAAATATTCTTTCTCCCCACTTTTAGCTTGCAATGAATGAAAATTCATGAAACACAATTAGCCACTAAATCGTAACTGTGTGTGTGCACGTGCGTGCGTGCGTGAGCATGTACAAAAGACTGATATTTTATTTCTCAATGAAAAACACCATAATATTGGCATCACATACAAACAAACTGCTCAATATATCAGAGGCACCAAGTCATAAACTTTAGAGGTGATAAGCTAAAGAGTGTACTGATTTCAAACATTAAGCAACTGAAACTGGAAATGTCACAAGTATTGTTCTGTGAATGAAGCTTTAAATGAGACTATTACAGACCAGGGAAAGGTCTCGATGCACAGAACACAAAGTTTTCCTTGTCATTCAAGATTAAAGTAGTCTTCATTCCGCACTGTTCACCAAGGTGATGTGTCTGACCTCTGATAGGAACAATGCCATATGGCCATCATATACTGCTATGCCTTTGCTGCTCCAGAATGCTGGCAATAATGTCAGACACCTGCTCCTTCACACAGAGATGATTCACCTCCGTCACACACTTGTAAAAGGTGTTATCACAATCATCTAGCTTCTTTGACTGGCCACTACCATCCTCTCTCTTGTGTGGCTGCTCATAGGACTCCCCTTCTGCCTTACTCGAGCTGCTGTACCGTTCTGGTAAGAAAAAGCACACTGATGGTCTACAAACTTCATCATTCTATGAATAGCCTCACTGAAACTACTACATTAATTTACAGTTAAAATCGTAACATGTTCCATTTCCTTCTGAAAAGAATAAATAAATAAACAAATAAAGTCACATAACTTACAAGGTGTACAAAAGCAACGTTTCTGAAACAAGGACCCTTGTGAACTGACCATAAAACAATAATGGCCTACAAAACAAAATGTCATTGTGAACATTTACCAATGAATCCTCTGAAACGTTTCATGTACCTTCAGAATATCCATTTATCACAGTTTAGGAACAGTTCCTCTAAATACATCTTACCTATACAGATGCAAAAGTTCTTATATATGGGAACAGTCCTCAACAATCGAACGATTTGTATACAGATTCATTCTGCTCTTATAGTTTGGCAATATTCTATATTACACAGATCAAGCACTCACCACAGAGCATGTTGATTGGGAAGAGAGACAGAACCGTCTGGTTGCAACCCTCACTACGTAGTTTCTCAATGGTACTATCGACTTCCTCCAGAAAACTTCTCATCTTTGGGTTCCATTGACGGAATCCAATAAACTGCACTGCAAAATCTTCTTTTATCGGCTTCACAAATTCAACCTGTGGCAGAAAGTGAATTAATGATAGGGTAAATAAAAACAGATCTGAAACCTCTCAGTGCAGTTCAGTATGCTTAATAAGGCAGGTCCACATAACATGCTATCCCATATACTACGTATGCTGACAAAACCAAAAACTTTGGGCATCCTTGCATAAACCACTTGTAACATTATATATGTCAAGAGGTTCCTAGGACCTACACGCGGCTACCACCTACCTCATCGAACAAATGACACAGCATATATACAATGCCCACATTAAACTGTGTCAGCATTGGATAGCCCTGCAAGAGCAGGTTGTCTTCTCTCCACATCATATCAAAAGCATCCATAATGTCCCAGAATGCATTTATCTCAGCTTCCTCATTTCCACTTTCCAGCGATGTCCACAGCTTTTCCTTGTAATTCAAGATGGTTAAATTTCTTCTAGGATATGCCTTCCTGAATTTCTGAGAGAGTTCACTTTCTTCATTTAGATTTGCTGCAACTTCATTTTCACAGGAGATGCCATTCGGAAGACTGGGGGATGTCTGTACATAACTCTCTATACTAGGGCTGGGATGGATATAGTTTCTTGCTATCTCACGTACTTGATTGCGTATTCTCAACAGGCGGCCCAAACAAAACTTGGAACTGTCAACAGTTTTAACAGGCTTTCCTACCTGTAGTTTGAACCCATCGACGCACGGTGGAAACTGAAACATAAAACACAAGGCACAACTGTTATGGGAACAGAGGCACAAGTCAACGGAATTTCATGCTACACTGTCTAATGCCAAATTTCACACTTCATCATGAATTATGCATCATGGATTATCATATGATGCTGACAGCAAATGTGTGTGTGTGTGTCAAAGATTGGTGTACATGACTTATAAACAAACAAAAATTTGTGATTTTTTCTTCAACATCACAACAAGTAACTGACCTGACAAACAAGTCCATTTAACATCTAAGTAATTCTATATAATTAATAATACATATCATTCACAGGATGAAATTTAAATTGTATTTCAGGCATGACACAAAGTCCATTATGGTTAAATCCCAAAGAGATGTAATGTTCGATATGACTGTCTTAAAACCATGACTACTTTCATGCCAAACTAACCTTCATAAAGTGCACCTTCTTACACAAACAAAGGTCTCAAGAGTGAGTCCTGGTAGTGCAACCAATGAATCTGATGACTTTTCAAAAGTTTAAAAAATGGACAATTCATTTATTATAGGAATGCCATAATGGACATTGTCTATTGTCTGAGGTATTATGTTGTAAACACCTCCAAAAGTGGGAATCTGTTAAGTGGTAAATTCACCATCACAGTGCACCTGCCCATTCAGTCCAGCTCATGTACGTTTTTAGCTAAATACAGTAAACCACAACCTGAACCCACCTGAAGGTGCTTTACATCATCACTGAATGGCCACTTGACGGCCATGCTATCCAGTTCCTCCTTCAAAACCTCGAGGAGCTGCAATGGCTCTAATTTTGATTTCTTACGGCGATCACTGAAAGAACCTTCTTCAGCACGAGGATCCATGTTGAGGGTCATTGTTTTTTTCTGTTGATAAAAAATGATATGAGACATTTTCAGGACAGGGTGGTGGTATAGCAACTGAGTCTCAAAAACTTGCACTCACCAGCTTGCTTTTCCCAACCACTTCATCTGATTCAGACAATTTTTGCATATCATATGTCTTCATGAAGTGATCTGCAATTAAATATCTCAGTTTCTTCATCTTGTGTGCCTCACCACGTGTCCTACCTCTCTCATATACCCGGATGTTTGTTTCAATCACATCAGTCTAAACAGAGGAAAACAAACATCAAATATATCTCACCACCATGAGAACCTCATATCCTAACCAAATATTTCAACAGCATCAATTAAAATGTAAAATAGCAGCAGTCTTTCTATCACTGAGAATCCAAATCATAATTTTGTATGTAATGAAAGTTGTCTAGCCTTATACTGTTGATTTTCCTGCACATCTGTATATATCCTGTAGAATTATAAATATAACTAATTATAGTTTTAGATTAAAAACAACTGAAACAATCTGCACAGTTCCAGTTGTTTTCATCTTATATTTTATTACTCTTACATAACATAAAATCAGCCACATACTTAGGCCAATCTCCTATCAATCACATCCACTAAATTTCACCACCACAGTAAAACATATGCAAATCTTGATGACTATGTTCAATTACAATTAGCCATACAAGCAAACACATTTTCAAACAAATGGAATAATCTATGACACTTTAGTGCCACTACTTTATACAATCTTTTGTAATGATTAAATTACTATATATTAGTATTATTTTAACCTACCTCTCTTAGTTTATTAATTAATTATTATCATCTTATCTGTGTGATAATAATGTTCTTCTGGGTTCTGGCACCATACACACTTGTTGGTAGGAGCTAATGTTTTGGAGAAACATATTGTCTCCATCTCCAGGGCTGAAGTGAAGATGTTGATAATAATAATGACGATTATCTGAGTTTTGGCACCATATTAACTCACAAGAAGCCAACATTTTGAAGAAACATACCATCTCCATCTTCAGTGCTGACTTCAGCCCCAAAGATGGAGACAGTATATTTTACCCAAACAAAAAGATGCAAGTTTGAAATGACATATGCACTCACCTGGAGATTCTTGAACATGGAAGTACAATCATACAACTGATCCAAAAAGTCCTGTGGAATGCTTGTCTGAGGAAACATTGCTTTGTCTGGTAACTCAGGACCTATAAAAGCAATGCTGCTTGTACAAGCGTTTTTTGGGGAGGGGGCAAAGAAACCGCACCTCACTTTAATAACATGCATGTTGATGTGATGTGACATGAATGAACTGACACTGTTTCTGAAAGCAGTTTGGTTTCTCCTGCCAATCATGACTACATCAATCAGGCGTGCAACTAGCTCAACAAGCTACTCTCAGTGCTTCACCTAGGACCTAGTCTTTGGCAAGACACATATCATTACTTAATGTTAGTCCTTTGCTTATATTATGTGAAATCTTCATAATAGCATGAATTGTACTTGTATATATGTTTTGTATTACTATGACTTATTCCACATCCTACTGGCTTACAGATCCATGGAACATAATAAAGATACATACTTGTATGTATGTATGTATGTACAAGGTAAACAAAGTACAAGAGGCATGGAAATACAATTTCTTACCAAAGTGCTTCCTCAATACTTCAAGCCAGGGCTCCATGAAGTCCTTGCCCCTGTATTCAAGACATACAACATATACTTCGGAATTTCCCTCCTTGCTGGTGGCTGGCTTGAATACCTGCACAGTAGTGAATGAACAACAGAGCAGGAACATAAGGCACACAGTCTCGTGTTCATACATCGTGAACATCTTCAACAAGAAACTGCCACCTGAAACACAGCACAGTCTTCTTCCCTGTGATCCACTTTAAACCTTTCATAAAACCTAAAAATTAATATGTATAAACTACAAATGCACCTGTTTCATGTAGTCAGACACTTGGTTTCTCATTCTGAGGGAAGAAAAGCTGTGCCTGTTTGACAAAGGAGTGCAGAGGAAATAATAATGGAGGGAACAAAATCAGGAAGTAATAAAGGACTGAATAAAATTATGATGGACTGGAAACATAAATGAATGAAACTGTGGATCAGCTAACTTGATCAAGTCACCATGACACAATCCTCTCCCCAATCAGCGAAGTTATAATTCCTCTACATAAGCCTACCTGCGAAGCATCAGCGTAGGAATATCCATGGTAATTACCTTTTGCAAGTATGTGCAAAGCTGAAACAGCTTCACAGTAGTGAAGGGATGACACAATTGATTCCTGTTCACCCGGATTCTCCTGACAGTCAATGCTTCCATCTGCTGTCACCTGAAACATCAAGAATTAGCATGATCAGTGCAGGGTGGACACCCAATATGTGTTATGTAATACAGTACCTTGTAATTTTGTTGTGTTTACAGACACAATTATTAAATAATAATATTTGTACAACTGATCAATTCAGACCAAGTCAGGTGATGCTAAAAATATAAGCGCAAATTTATTACGAAAATTTTGAAGTCAGTAATTTTCCAAAGGAATAATGTCATGGTTGGCTTAAATATCTGTCTCAAAAAGAAAATTATCACACTTATAATAACAAATCACTTTACCAGCAGCACATCCCCCATTCCAGCTGCCTCCTTCGCCAGATGCAACATGTTCTTTACATCCATGAGATTTCCTGTGTCGTCAAGACCAAAATTCCAGGACTCCAAAGTCTGCAGGATGAAGCGATCATCGTTGATCATGCATGACAAGGGGTTCCCTTCATAGTAGGGATTCAGAGTTGTAGCAAGCCACTTCCACTGGAAACAGCAGAAACTGTGTTAATATACACATAATCCAAGAAATGCACATTAATTGTCTATAAAATAGAAACAAAATCACCATAAGATTATGGTAATACAAAGTGTCTGCCAGAAGGGGGCTCTGCCAACAACAGTGGTAGTACTCAACTCTGCTGACAGATGGCTTTTCCAACAATGTAAAACATAATTATGCTGGTTGAGATTATGGTAGGAGTGAGTGTGCTTTAATGAATATGTTTGAAAAAAAGGTGACAAAAAGTATGACAGAAGATATGGTCAAACAGTACGTTCTTTTTTGGTGCTTTAGGGTCAGCAGCTGTGATTGGGAGTAAGTGTGTGTGAAATATAATTTACTGAATCAAAATAGCATCCACCAGCAATGATGAATCTTCAGACTTCAAAACACAGAACTCCTTGACTAGATGAATAAATACTGACTGTTTGAGACAGATGTCACACAATGCAGGAGGCTGGCTTCTTACCTTAATGCCAGGATTGTGAAGCTTCAGGTAGTGGTTCAGGGAAGTGATGAAGGCACCAGGAGCCTCACACAAGTGCACTGAATTCAAGCACTCATTGATCACAACAACGGGGGTAACCAGAATGAAAGACATAGCATTCTCATAAAACTTGCACCAAGCCTGTAACAAGAAGTATTTGCAGACTTTGACTAGTACAAATAATTTGCAAGAGATTCTAAATAATCCACCAAAATGTAAAAGACTGAAATGTCAAACACCACCAGTTGCATTTCCTATGCATACAAATTGTTACCACACAAGTAAAAATCATACCAGCCTTCCTCTACAGCTCAAATTAATGTTTTGTAAAAATGAAAGTTAAGCCTTTCTTTTTATCCATGGCTATACAGAACATAAAATACAATGATATACAATCAGTACATTTGTGCACGTTACACACAAAGCTTGTTTAGTGTCCCCTAAACATAAGAGCGTAAGGGGAAAGCTTCTGAATCACTGTCATGTGAGCACTAACAGATAAGGTAAAATTTTCTGAAGAGCAGTACATACACAGACACAAAACTTCTCATGCATCATTGCTCCTATCCATACAATGAGTACCAAAGAACTTTTCACCAGGTGTGAAGTGGCCAAAGTGTGAATGTAACTACCCAGCTCCATGTATTGCCAAGGTTAAGAATATGTGGAGGTTTACTGCTACTTTCCTGTATGTATTCATGTCATAGTTTAAGCTCAGGGATAAATTTACCTTTTGTGCAAACCTCTGAATTTGATCTGTTTTTCTAAACACTAATTTAGGTTAATAATTAGTTTTCTCAGGCATTATTTTCACAAACCCTGCTTTGATCTTCATTATTTTGATATTAAAAGAAACATACTCATATTCCAGTCTCTATGCTCTGTGATTTTGATTTCATAATTCTACATGCACCGATTAATCATGTAACGATACTGCATCACCTGCAGAGATTATCAAATCAAATGTGATTAGAGGATGATTAAACAGGGAACTGGTTAGGAAGCAGCAGTCAGGAAAATCCTGAAAATGAAAGCCCAAAGTGCCTTGGTTGACAATCAAACACACACTAGTCACAATGCAACTTGAGAAAATCTTCTCAGTTCAAGATAACTGTGGTATCTGATTTGTCTAATGAGAAACACTGCATGCATAGCATTTTGATTCAGAAGCATCTGACAAAACCCTTAAGAAAATAGTTCCCTTTATTGTTTTTCAAAGAGTTTGGGCAAGAAAAACAACCTTGGCCCCACATATCACAATCAATGTCAAACATTTTAATTAACTGTCACTCCTAAGATGTAAGAAAATACTACTTATAGCAACAGCCCGTTTGGTAGGACATACTATTTTTGGTAAATGTGATATTCTTCATCACCCTTAAATTACTTTCCTCTGTCACTCCAGGAAAATCTGGGATACTTTCTCAATTATTATTAACTGATTATTTTATTTCCTATCTGTTACAATTCATCATTCAGTCAACCGATCATTTTACAGTACATAACCAATACAGTTCAGACAGTACAGTTAAGTAAATCAGAAATCATCCTATAGTATAAATTTTAGTCTGTAAAAGAGTTACATGTCACATGACTAAAATGAGGGGTAGCATGTTGCTGTACCTGCGTCAAAAACTCTGGCTCCAGCTCATTACGCAGTTTCCACTGGATCTCACCGGCCTTGTTCATGGCACGGGTGTGTTTGTGCCAGTCATTTAGATTGTACAAGTCCAGTTTGCTCTTCACATTGTTGAGCTCTGTCTTCAGTTGTTGTAGCCTCAGCTCCTGCAAATCGGCATAAAGCAACATCTCTGAGGGCCACAAAGAAGTGTATATGATAACCACATATTACAGAGTAACGTTGTATGGAAAATATAATAACATTAACCAATGCAGATTATACTAACAGGCATAGTAATGTGGTAACATGAAAATTACTGAATTAAATAGTCATGCTTAAAATATCATCACATGAGGTTATGAAAAACTAAATGTTCCCTGAATACTGCAGTGAGCTACATGGCTATACAGAACTATTTGTGATACACTATTAGCTCTGGCAACCTACAATTAAAAGAATTTTCAAAGATTCTACTTAATTTTCACTAACCTTCCACCCATCAGCAACAAATATCTTGCTAGGTTCTGGCAATTTCCAGTCCTGTAATGGTGGTCTAAAGTAGAATTTCTTATCAAAGTACTTCAATACTTCATTTTCAAGTTCTTCATAGTCATTTCTTGTCATTCTTTCACAGTTCCTATTGCTACGACCACTGAAGGATGCAGGTATATCCCCATACACACCATCTGTACTTTTACTGCTCTGTTCAGATGCACTATTTCTGTGTAATCTCTGCTCCTCCCCCAAACTGAGGAAACTGCCAGGCTGAGGCATTGTCCTGTACAGCATAAATCATTAAGTACTTTGTGAAATCTATTTCATATTCCAATGGGCATTACTTCAATAACAGGTCATTACACCATAACTAAAAGATACAAAAACATTAACTAAACTTTAATGATATGGTGGGTTGGTTCATGAATTGATAACCCTATGTAAAATGTAGTTATTACATGGAATGTAATGGCAGAAGAATGATTGTGGAGAAAGTGGTCATGGTCTATTTGAGTACATTTTGTGCTGGGAGTTTTTAAAACAAATCGTGACACTGGTATATTTCCAAATTATTCCAGAGGAGAATGACCATAGTATATGAAGGTACAAGATACTATCACAGCTATGACTTGGCAATACTGAGAAAAAATTGACAGTGGAACCACGGTTCTGGAGAATCTGACATAAATACGTCTTTGTATTTAAATTATATTTAGGCAATAAATACAATGAAAGGAAGTTTATATATTAGCTTTATTCTAAATATTCCCTTTATACATGCTTTACAATTGAGTAAATAGTTTGATTAAGACATTGCTTAATTATCTATCCCTCATACGTTCAGCATTAGTTTTGGGTATTTTTTTGGGAACTTCATGTTCATTATTTAATACTTCTATTTTTTTATGTTTTCTGTACTGTCTCATATATTCTGCATTACGGACTCTTTTAGCTTCAATGTCATCCATCTTGCTATCTCTACTTAGTAGCAGTAGCGTGAAGTGCGATGCACCTTTATCCCTTACCTCACCTTTATCCTTGTGGGTAAGAAAGTTTGTATTTATGTCACCAAAGATGATAAATTCAGCTCTGGGTTTATAGCGATACTTTATATTGCATTCCGACTTAATCATGAATTGCTCAAAATCTCCTGTGGGCATTCTGTATATGGCTAAAATATACATGTTCTTTAAAGAGAAGATATAGTCTGTGACTGTAATCTTGAGACTTGAGGGGCAAGGAAGTGGTGTGAAGGAAATAGTATCTGCCTTTAAAGCTTCAGACTTCCTGCATTCCTTGCAAGTCTCAAGATTACAGTTGTGTACTGTACATTAGTTTTATATATTTGTAAATATAAGAATTTTGCCAGGTTAACCAATAAGTTTTGTTTGTTTATTTTTCTTTTTTCATTGTCACCAAACAGGAATCCAAGTTCAGGGAAACTCACAAAATAAGTAATTGTGATATTCTAAAACATTTTTAACAGCACAATATTATCTACTCTACGACACACTTCTTCTACAAGCAATTCACAGCTCAGCTCTTTCCGCAATAACAAAAGCGGATTGTTGATGGCAGTAATGAAACACAACAATGCCGAATAAAGAGATGACATAAAAATTAGTTTCTTAGGTAAAGGAGTAAAGCATTGTTATGGATGCAGGAGTTCATATAAAAGCTGACTAGTCAATCCATATTTACACATTGTTGGTATGGATCTTACACATTTTCCTAACGCTGTTTTGCCGAATGACACTTCCATATAGACGTATTTACGTCAAAACAATGTAAACCTCAAGACAGCCACAGTTAGAGCTGAGATTTCAATTGGGTACATCCAGTATGAGTGCTATCACCATATATCACTGGTTGATTCTACTCACTCAACTTACACTCCAAAATATCCATTTACATACCAATATTCAGGACTCTTGAAACTGATACAAACAGCTTCTGATCTGTCATGCAGTCAACCAGACTTCAAGGTGTGAGGGGTTTCATATAGTGATTACTCCATTTTAAACCTGAAACATGGTGGCAAAATTTAAGCTTGGTAATTTCAAGTATGATCTAGCAAGGTCCTGGCAGATTTGTCCTGTTATTTATTATAAAGTATCAACTGCACAGGTTAATCAGTAATTTGGATAACAATGATGAAATCACTAATTCGAAGCAATATCCTGGAAGAATAGAGCAAAACCATCTAAATAAACTTAAACTAAGTTGCCAATTTCTGGGCTGAGATGCAAGTCTCATACATTGTGAATATGTCACTACACCAAGGATCAGAGAGTGATACTACTCCCCATCTGCCATCCTTTCGTGGCAAGTAGTATGTGACACATACATCCATTTCTATCTCTTAATACCAACCTGGCCTTATATTGGTATCCTGTTGTCAAACTGGAACAAAGTCCTGGGGATTCAGTCGTGGTTGTATAACACATTTGTAGTGGGAAAAATCCCACTACTTAATTTAAAAATAACAGAATCACAAAGTACTAGTTTAGTGTGCTGACAGTCACAGTCATAACCCTGATGAGGGAGGCAACATGTACTTCTGCAACGTCGGTAAACTTCTACCACAATACACAGCCTAGCAACCAAAACAATAGCCATCTTCTTTCCCTTGTTACTTGTATAATGATACGGCGAATTATGCTAAGACAAATTCTTATTACTGTGGGAGAGATTGTTACCTTCCCGTGCCATCCTTGATTTCTTCCACGTGCACTCGACAACTTTGCACCGTCCCCACGAACAAACAAAACATACTAAACACGAATTAAATGTCTCATTTCTTTTTCCATCACCAGAGGTTCCATGCAATTCCGGTTTACACATTATTTCAGAAGCGCGATATTTGAATACTAGTGATGACAAGGCACTCTACTGAGCATCAACTTACAACTGGTAAAAGGAGGGGGGGAAACCGTTAGAATAGGTTAAGTTCTGTTAATTATTACGCTTTAAATAAGTTTGATAGCTTACGTAATTATTTAGCTAGTGTTCATTTGCCTAGGAAGAATATTAAGGATATAAAAGATGGTTACAAAATTCTGTACCAGAAATTAGTGTGAACATAAATTAAGTACACAAACATGATATGCAACTCAACCCATTAATTAATAATATACGTAATAAGTATTTCGATATTTAAAAAAAGAAATAACTGTATGACTGAAGATAACAGCACTAAAAATAGAACTAAAATACTTCAAAAAATTACTAACCATCCATTAAACCAATATAACATACAAATTTTGTTGTATGTAGCTTGATCCATGAATTGCTACTTCCTCCTTTGGGTAAAGAAACATAAATTAAAAGTTCTTTAAAAATTGTGCTTAGTAAAATATTTGAACCGAAGGAGGACAGGGCATGCTTGTAATATAGAATATTACATTTTGAAAAATTTGTGATTTATACACATCACACAGTACTATTTGCACTGTGAAATCCAGGAGGCTATGATCGAAAAAACATTGAATACAGATTTTTGGTCGAAAAACCTCTTATAAAAAAGCATAATTGTAAGACAGAAAAGAGGATAATGGGAGGTTAACATTATGATGTTTCATAAAGAGATGTGTTGTCATGATAGACGTAAAGTGGATATAACTGGCTTTAAAATCATATCCAATTACAGGCTTTGGTATTAGGACAGTTCAACCTTTAGATACTTATATCATACTGTTAGTACGTAATAAGTATCTGGGATCAACACACCTTTATTTTGATTTTTTACTGATGAACATTGAAATATTTAGTTTGTTTCAGAAATGTCTGATGGAAAAGTGAACACGCATCAATCTCCTAATGCAATTTTTGCAGCTATTGAAGCAAGATGTGGATTGAAAAGTATGTAAATATTCAGTTTATTCTAATATTATTTTATATTGTCCACTGCATACTATATTGTTTTAAGAAAACGTGTTATTGCTGTTGCTGCTATTACTTCTTCAATTACTCTCCAAATTAACAAAATCAGGACTGTTGAATGTAAATTTTATTTTACTGCCAATGTGTTTTATAAAAATACATTGAATTTCACACAGAAATTTAGGCTATAGTGCCCAGATCCCTCTCCAACCCATGTAAGATGTATCAAGTGGACAAGTTTAGTTTCATACATCAATAAGATAAAATTAAGTACATTACAGGTACATACTTGCATATTTCACTAACCACACACCTATAGGGCATTTTCCTATGTATGAATTAAATTAAATCATAACATAAGTTTCTGATCCCAGAGTGTTTACTTGAAGTATCAGCTGGCAGCAAGCGCATCAACATTATCAAAATTCTAGTGTTAGACAAGAACTGTTGTTGTTATTGCAATATAAAGACAGTAGAACTCGCTCCGTAGTAGTTCTCAGGTGTAGCTGCACTTGACCAGTAGCAATTATGCTACTATTCAGACCTGTATAATGCAAATCAATCTCATTTTCATCTTCCATAGCAATTTCTAACAGCTAGATCCACTATACATGTTATCTAGGAACAAAGATCAGCATCTCCTCATATAAAGAATCTTATTCTTTCCCCGAGACCTGACACAGGTTGCATTTTTAGTGTGACTTTTTTATGAAAAGTAGTGAACATTATCAAACTATAAAACTAAAAGCACAATTCACTTGTACATTCTTAATCCCATGTTTGGTAACAATCTCTCTCAAAGGCTATTCATTTCAGTGCCAATCTGATGTTCAAGGTACATATCTAACTAATCATTTTTTTTAACAAATAATGCTCTGGAAACAAAGCCATGCTCTAATAAGCATTTATCTATGATACAGGAAATACAATCACATTATTTCAGAAGATTTGAGTAATGACAGTATAATCATATATTAGTTTTGTTGTGATGTTGATTTAATTCTTTGACAAGATCATTGTATTGTAGCATTTTCAATGACTCAAAACTTTATAATCGAAACCAATACCAAAACACATTAGTACACTGTTTGATTTGTATACTCATTGCCCATACAAATTATTTTTAAGTTTTTAAATAAATGTCCCAGAAGCATAATAATGTTATGTTTCCAATAAGTACTCAATGTCACCTGTCAATCAGTAAAATTTCACACTCATCAAACTAGCTAACACCACTTAAAGCGATGTTGAAGTACGTCATTGGATTAATTCACAGAAACTGTACTACCTTTAACACAATTTGTATTCTGTTCACAGGAAACAGACATCCAAAACAGCTAACCAAAACTAAAACACTTAAATCAAAGGACAGTGATTCAGCAACTTCAAACACAAACAAAAAGGCTAGTTCTCAAACACCTATGCAGGAGAGAAACTGCAAAAGCAAATCAAAAATTAAGAAGGAAAAATTAAAATCACAAACCTGCAAAAATTTCTCCTTTAGTCTATCACAGCCTGTGCATTCGGCAAACCCTACATCAAACAAACATGTGCTACGAAACTGGCAACCACCTCTCAAGATACTTCGTTATGATGACAAAGAAAATACAGCTGAAAACTCTAGCCATGAAGACATAATATCTTCCGTAGACAAAGTGTGTAGTGAGGAAAGTAATGGGAATGAAGAAATAAACATGGACCACACAGGAACAATTGTAGAGAAAGCACAAACTGAGAGTGAGATGATCAGCAGCAATGGAAACAAGTCATTGAGTCAACAGTCCACTCAGGAATATGTTCCCACAGAAAATGAAATGAAAGTTGAAAAGGGTAAACATGAAGATACTGAGAGGGCTGAAGCAGAAACTACAGAAATAAGCTATACATTTCAAGAAACTGACAAGAAAGAACCAGGAAGTGACTCTCATGAGATAACATGTATTATTAGCAATAAAGATGTTGATCCTTCAAACATCAGAATCAAAGCTGATGAAAACGACTGTAACACATCATCTACTGAACATTCGAAGGAAAGGATGGATCAGTGCTTTGTATATACAATGCACACACAGAATAACAGCAGTCAGGTTTCGATAAAAGAACATGTGGGAAGAAAACAAGACATGAAAGATAAAGCTGGAGAAACATCTAGAGAAAATATAATGAACAAATCTGATAATACAACTTTGCCTCCTGATAACTTCCTAACAAACAAGCACAAATCTTCAGATTGTAAAGATGAGGCAAACACAAAATCAAATTCTGTCATGTTGCAGATTCCGAGTTTAACAGTCAAGTCACCAGCACCTCCTGCACAACACATGTGTTCCATCACAACAATAACTAAAAATGTAGAAGAATCACCACTACCACTTAATCTGATTCTGAAAAATACATGGAATCACTCCCAATTAACTTTGGATAAGAGTGAAGAAATGGAACCAACAAACATACAAACAATGTCACAGGCAGCAACCACCTTTATGGTTTCAGAACAAAAATGTGAACAGGCAGATGTGAGCAGACAGATACTTACTTTACAGGCCAAAACAGAAAAAAACAAACATTTGTCACTGATGGCAACAGAAAAACAAACTGTTTGCAATTTTGAAAATGAATTGGTAAATAAATGTGAAAAGTTGACATCAAATTTTCTAAGTGATCTTCCAGTAAATAAAACAGAAGTTAATTCGGACAAAATGATAAAGAATACAGCTCTGTCTCCAACAGTAGCCACAAACACTCCAGGAATCAGCAATGCAGAGAGCACCATGCTACAGAGACATACAGAACAAAGAGAGATAGAAACAACATCCCAGTCTCTGGATACAATGACACCAAAGATTCTTCCTGACAATAATCTGGATTTGAATAATCAGTTAGAAACTCCAAAAATTGCAATAAATGTATGCGACATGAAAACTGCCATGATCAGACACAGGGAAGTAGAGAAGTTCAAAACTACACCCTATTCCTTGGATACAGCAACATCAGACAATTATTTAGAAAAAAATAAGAGTTCAACAGAATCTCAAATAACAGCAGCAAATAAATGTAATGAAGAATATTTGACAGAAAGATATGAGAAAGCTTCAAACACTACTTCTTGCAATAACAATAATGAAATAGATGTATCTGCTGGCACTGACAACTGCTCCAAACAGCCAGACAAAGATACAGAATATACAGACGGTGTAAAAGTAGAAAATACAGAACTACCAAATGCTGAACATCCATCTACTTCCAAGATGAATGAATTTCTTCCAAAAGAAAATGAAATGAGTCAGTCCAAGGTTGGTTTAAACATGTTCAAAGATAAATTCTGCAAATCTCCAACAGCAGCAGCAGAAGCTCCAAATGTATGCAATATGAGAAAAATAAATATGAACCCTCTGACCTATGAAAATATACCTGACACTGCTAGCCATGGTTACCTATTGGATGATGATATTGGTCTGACAGGTTCTCAACTTCTTCGTATTGAAGATGAATGTCAGTACAACATTAGAAGTGCACAGCAATTGAATCGTGCTTCTAACTATGGCAAAGCCACAGTTCCAGACACTTCTGTTTCTACACACACAGCACCCCCTCCAAATTGGGCACAGAACATGCATGAGAAGAGGCAAAAGCTGAGGAGTATTATACAGGATATTTCAAGAATTAAGTAAGTACAAAAGTGTAATAAAGCTTACAGTTCAAGACCTATTTAAAGTTGTTAGTTTTTGGTTGCACAAGAAATTTCCTGTTATTGTAGAAACTTTATCTACACCTCAATCTTTCAAGCAGCCTTTTGGGGTTTGACAACAAACACTTTGTTTCTCCATCCCATCCTTCTTCATTTAATCACCCTAAGAATGTAACAGGGGAATAGTAAAAATGATTAAGTTGTCAATATAATTTTCTCCATTTCTCAGATACCTCACAAGCCCTAGAATTATCATACCGTCTACTAAGACTATAAATATTTTTTCTGGTCTATTAAGTTTCACACACATTCAAAATAACAGGTAAAACTGTAGTCTTATATTTGTATATTTTAATATTTCGGTTATAAGAAATAAATTGTCCGAACCGCAAAAACAGACAAGTATTTACAAAATAACACTTCCAGCTGTTCGTTACTAATCATATACAGTATATAGCAATCTACCTCTGTAACCATAATGTATCAGCAGTTAAATTATTGTAACATTCTGAACTTTATGTAATTTGCTATCCCTAATATATAATAAAGAGAAAGCTTTTTTTAAGGGGAAAATATTTTTTCATACCACCTGATTTACCAACTCCAGATAGTTGACTGTGCTTACTGTGAAGGGTGAATATCAAAACTGGATCATATTCATTTTATATAGGTATTTATTTGTTTATAAAAATAATAACATTATTACACAAACATTTCAGTGCCATGCTAACACGAGTGAGGAAAGAGATGTGGCCCCTTCCACACAGTGCAACACCCGGCATCTTGAAATCCGGTCAACTGACAGGCACATCCAAGGGCACAGGTCCAAGATGGGGGCCTAATGCCCACAATATGTAGATCCACTTTAGAACATGTTTGGGTGCAACACAGCTGTAACATAGAATGTCTATAAAAGAACCTAACTAAATAATACTAGTATTAGTCAAAACCACACCCAGTCTTACCAATTAATATATTTCTACAGTTTTGTCTTTCACAAAGTCTGCAAGATTCCTTTCTAGACTTACTATAGCATAGAACTTCCAACAGATATTTCTGTTTTATATTACTATAACAATATCTACAGCAGTTTCATTATTTTTGCAGCTACTTCCCAAGCTTTTTCATGAAAGAGAAAATATCACAAACCTGCATAATTTCTACCAGGTCACTTCTAGAGCATCTCAAAGTCATCACGCTGAAAAAAGACAGGAAAGTAAAACAATGCTCTGTACCCATTGCCAATGAACATACATGTATATAAATGCTACAATGTATTATAATTCTGTTGACAGCAGTTTTCTTCATACCTCCTTAGCACTTTTAATGTTAACACAGTTATGTTGCTCAGTCAAACATTCAACCACATACAGTAAAACGTCAATATAAAAGGCACAACGGTAAATGTAGGGTTGAGCTAAGTTCCAATAGGTTACAGTTTATACTCAGTGACCTCCCACATAAGAAAGATAATGAACTTGGTCACCAAAATGGAAGTTTTACTGTAGTGCCTAAAACCTTCAGTGTTATATGTTCTTGATTTATAAGATAATTAACTGCAGCCACAAAATATTCATTATACTTTATGCATTAGGTTAATGAATTATTTTAGTTTAATTTAGTGATAGTAGGAATAAATGACAAGTTCATAACTTTATAAATTGTAGATCTTTTAAAGGTAAATGCATCACATCTCTCCAGAGAAGCCAACCAACCATCACAAAATGTTAACACTGCACCATGCATTAATACGACACATAATGACAAAACGGAAAGAGTCACAGTAAAAATTTACACAGGGCAAATGCTCTGGATTGAGACACATCTTGAGAGCATACATTACATTTTTTGCAACACTTTTACCAATATGATGAATTGTATATTAATATTCACACAGCAAAACTTAAGAAAAATCACTTACATTTCATAATACAAGCTGAGTGCTGTTTCAAGATGACCAGTGACTTTGTTCATTTATCTCTCATATCACATTATAGTATTATCATAGCACTAACATTTTGTTTCCTGTTAGAATTATACTATTACTTTGTTATGTGAATACATACAGTAAATAAAGTTGATACATTAGTGATGTACATACCATTTCATTATACTCCATAATGTGTCTTCTGATGGCTGAAGTATCCACCCACGTCACAAAGTCCTCCAAATTCCTGTTAACATGCACACAAAAACTGCAAATTAGTATCTTTGTAATCATGTCTGCATTGACATGCTTCACACAATACATATAATCCCACGCCAACAGGTCTAAACAGTGGGATTTGAGGTTTTCATGGTGGTGAGTCCAAAGATGAATGTCTTCTGGGTTGTTGCACCGTGCAGTCTGGTAAACCACACTACATGGTTCAACAACCCAAAGACAACCATCTTCAGGTCTAAACAGGTCTGGATACAGGTGTGTGTATATATAAACAAATTCATAACTTGTTAGCTATGTATACCCGCCCTTGATTTCAAGTTTTATTTAAATCTACTGCTAGGTATGCCACAAATAACTATTAACCCCCATTAAGTGAGATTAAAAACATGTTGAGATATACTTCTAATACCCCATTGTTTACAAGGAAAGATGTTTAGTTAAGTATCAAGGACATCTGTAGGCTTTGCTGTAACACTATCTGCAGTAAATAAATGTTAGGTAAGGAAGGGTATATTAGTGTTCATTACATGGAGATAACTGGCAGCCTGCTACATAGTAAAGGATAATGATGTAGACTGTTTACTTCAAAAAACATGAAAAATTTGTTGTAAAAATCAGAAAATGTGTGGAGGCAATACATTCAGTTGGATATTGACATACAAATGCACCTTGTAACAAGAAATGCTGGATCCTTCACAACTTCTGGACCAACTCTTACATGTCCTTGTTGTACAAACTTTGTGGCCATGTGCACTGACCCACACATCTTGCTTCTGACCATCACCACTGGGAGTCGACGGCGGCAAAAACATGAAGCAGTCACTTGGTCACAGAGAGCCAAATCCCATTTTGTTGGAATCAGACTCATCATGTACCTATAAAAAATAAATACAAATTAAGTTTCTTGTCAGTATTAAACACACTATGTAACATTAATTTCATCATACTAACAACTTTTCCAGCAACTGAGCACTTGACTCCGTCCGAAAAGGATCCTTCTGGTCCAAATCTTTTATTTTCCTTGCCAGTTCTCTTATGTGACGAGACAACTTATTGTACCTGAAACAATGTATACTGTATTAACAGAACAGCTTGGCTTCAGGAAAGGTGTATCCACTGAATATGCAGCATTAAAACTAACAGACAATGTGCTAAAATCTATTAACCAAAAAATGCATGTTGGAGGAATGTTCCATGATTTAGCAAAAGCTTTTGACTGTGTAAATCATGAAATTTTGCTGCATAAATTAAATTTTTATGACATTCAAGGAATAGCAGCGCAATGGTTCAGATCCTATTTAACACATAGAAAACAAAAGGTTGAAGTAAAAGCTCTTAAAAACAAACAGAATTTTTTCTCAAATTGGGGAACAATTAAACTTGGAATTCCCCAAGGGTCAATTTTAGGGCCCTTGCTTTTTATAATATACATAAATGACCTTCCTCCAACAATAGGAACAATAAATACTTTAACAGAACCCATAATATTTGCTGATAACACAAGTGTCATAATTTCTAATAAAAATTGTGATGATTACTGTTCAACATCAAACATACTTCTGTCTCCTATGAGTAAACGGTTTACTGCTAACAAGCTGGCCCTAAATATAGATAAAACAAATACAATAAAGTATGATCTTGACCTTTCACGGCGACTGTGTACAATAAAATCCTCTCGGCTGTCAGCCGCGTCAAGTGGTTAAAACATGAAGAGACCAACGTTTTGAGGTCCATCTCTGTCCTCGTCCTCAGGGTACTGAAGTGGTTGGGCTCTCAACCGTGTCATATATATATATATATATTTATAACAAATAACTCACCATGATATGCTTTAAGTATTGGTTATAATGGAAAGTATATACAAGAGTCAATAAATACAAAATTCCTGGGTTTGCAAACTGTTAATCACCCAAATTGGATAAATCATATTGATAAACTGAAACCAAGGTTAAGTGGAGCATGTTATGCAGTTAGATCTCTGTTTTGTGTCAGCAACACTGATACACTCAAATCAGTATATTTTGCCTATTTTCATGCTATAATGAAGTATGGAATAATTTTTTGGGGTAATTTATCAAACAGTAAAAATATATTAACTTTACGAAAAAAAATTGTTAGATTAATGGCTCGTGTAAAACCTAGAAATTCATGTAGAAGTCTATTTAAGAGATTAGAGATCTTGGCTCTTCCTTGTTATCATTAATGAACTTTATTGTAAATAACCAATAACTTTTTCAAACTAATTCTACTGTACACAATGTGAACAAAAGGAATAAAAAGCAGCTTCATAGAACAGTTGCCAACCTCTGATGTTTTCAGAAGAGTGCAAAATTTTCAACAGTCTATCATCAAGAACCACAATTGTTGTGAATAAAAAGGAGCAATTTAAAGCAGCATTAAAAAGATACTTAATTACACACTCCTTTTACTCTGTCGATGAATTTCTATTGTTTACAAATAATAAGTGATAATTTATCTTGGGGTATGTAATGGGTAGGTTTATTTGTAACTTATCATTACATTATGTAAACCCTTCGGTGTATTATGTGAAATTTATATAATAGTATGAATTGCACTTTATAATACGTATTGTATTATTATCATGACTTTTCCACATCCTAGTCATCTGACTATCTCATGGATCCATGGAATGTAATAAAGATGTATGTATAGCATGTAAGAGCGTCACCAAACTCATGGTTCACATACTGCTGCAAAATAAGACCATTTCACTTACTTTGTATAATCTTCTCTTTTCTGAATACAGTATTTTCTCATAACTTTAACCTCGTGGAGATTGTTGTCAACTTCCCACGATATGAAATCAACCTTCTTTAATAGTTTTTGTTCGTGATATTTTAGTTTTCGTACCATGATTATAATTTCTGTTCACCATTCACTGTAAAATACACAATCCATGCAAGTGAATATGCAGACTGTATCTACCTATAAACTCGCATTGCTTTACTAAACTAACCGCACAATAACATACGAACTGTTATAACCTTAATTTCCAGAGTACCAAAACACAATGAACAGTTCCACAAATATCCACTTGATCGCGCTACAAGTTCATAAGTATAAAGAAGATCAAAATTACCAAACTGGTAACATACTTTACTGGCCCAGCCTCCGAAATAGAAGACCAACAAATTCGGCTGCGGAACCGGAAGTTTCAATAACACTGCTGATATCAAAATCCTGAATCAGTTCCATCTCACACTGCCAAAACAAACTTCCGTAACAACCATTATAATGTTGGCCTGATCGGGGTCAATTTGGTTTCCAACATCAGAACCCTGATGATGGTGACAGAGACAGTCCCTGAAACGTCGGTTTTATTATTTAACCATTTGACGCGGCTGATCGCCCGAGAAGATTTTATAGAGTTCGCCGCGAAAGCTTCAAATCATATAACACATATTGAATTACATATCACTCTAAGAGCCATAAAAATGTTTAATATACAGTTAGGCAAATACTGCTCTTATCCTGGAATTCAATCCATTAGTCCAGTGTGAAGAGTGAAGCAAGAAACGATAAATATCGTGTTAGAGTAAAAGATAGGCAAATATGTAGAACAAAAAACAATTTTTATTTCCTCCAAAATATCACATTGGACCATAAGTGGTGGAAGCAACTATGTGAGTAAATACAGTAGTAGCTTAAAGTTACTTTAGCTCAGAGCTCAACTAATCCACATGAGATTAAAAATGGCAAAACTGCAAAAGTCAAAATATATGAGGCAAGCACACATGACAAGAATAAATTACAAGCCTGTCATGCAGTACCAAACAACAACCAAATAGTGGCAATGATCACTTAATGTCAATAAAAATGAAAACTGTTACAATGTTAACATCACTGGTATATTATGGACTATTATCACTTTAACATTATTTGATCCATATAACATTGTTTAAAAAAATTGTAATATCACCTTGACTTGTCTGAGATTTTAGTATATCATGATGGTTAAAATGTCAGTTGTGGTCTTCTGAGTTCTGAAAACCACAATCACCAACATGAATTGTTTGAATTATGCGCTTTTCGGATGTGGAGGAACTAATTCCAGCAATGCAGTATTATACCAAAAACTATAATACAAATATTAAGAACTTTTATTATTTTAATGTATATTTTGTTACTAAACCTATATCTACACTCATTTCCTTAACAATTTGATATTATTTTCCTCATTAAAGTGCATTATAATTCACATCTGTTAAGAGTTTTTCATAACAAGGTATTGGGGTGGCAGAATGAATCTCAGCTAATTACTTTTTATGGAAATATCAGATCAGTTAACATCATATTACTTAGCAAATATTTTCCAGGGAAGCAACCACATTAGCTAATCAATGCCAGTAAAACATTATTATTTTAAATCATTAGTGTATACAATATTTTCTGGCATAGGGCAGCAGCTATATCATTACTGGGCAAGGCTATTGAAGAATGACTTCTCTAAAGGCTGGTTACCAGATACTCACGGACGGTAATCACATTCTAATTTAACTGGCCGTGATACTGCAATGAGGAAGGCAACACATCCCTAATATTTTTAATATCATTACGCTAGTATACCCCAAGCTGACAATAAAAGTTCAATTAGATCTCAATCATACAGCAGAGAATGAACACAAGCCAAGAGATACTTGACAATCACAAGGCACTATTTAGGTAACAAACTCACAACTTCCTCAATGCACGTTATCAATATCAAATTTTTATTTGTATAATCATTACCTGCAAGTCAGATATACTGACATGACTGAGAGCACAGTTGACTTGTACTCATAAAGTATGTGACATGCCTGGCTGCACCATGCTCTTGTCCTCTATTCCAACTGATGTATGACACAGGGTTCCACTGCTGTAAGCACTGCCCAGTAAGACACTTGTTATACCATGGCTACAGTGACCCTGATCATCCTGTCATAAGTACTCCTATTATCTTGGTCAAGATAAAATCTTTTTGCTGGAGATTTTCCACAATGTCAAAATGATCCACACCAGCCACAGTCATGTATTCCACCTGCTGACTGTGTTGTCTGAGTTTCTGTAAGACAGGCAACATCAACTGCTGAAGCCAGTTTCTCTAATACTCATAAGGCAGTGGATATAGACAGACAGTATATATGTACAATTGATATTAAGCAGTGATGTACCTGCCTTATATTTGACAGGCACCTGGTTCATATATCGCTATCTCAGTATCTCAATGTCAATTCCTGACCCAGATCGAGGCCACAATGGAAAATAGTAAATAATTTCTTGTTTTCTGAAGCTAAAGTATATGAAAGGGTCAGATAAAATATTATCCATGGTTTCTCCCAGTCCCTCCAGGCAAGTATCAGGTTGCAGGTCATGACTGTGACCTGTTAAACCACCCACAATTATCATATACCATACCGTTCGTCTCACCTCGGCAAACTCATAGCTCTGTCGCTGGAACTCTGGAGAGTCATGGTCACCCACAGCAACCAGGATCCTCAGTTTTGTCACAGCTGGAGAGGTAATGTCAAGTAGCAGGGGACTGAGTGACCTGGCTTCCTGACTGAAGACAAACAGTACTGTTTGATCTACTACAATCTTGAATTCAAATAGCTAACAACAAACTCCAGTATAATATTATCTTCCCACTTCCATCTCAGATCTTCTAACTGGCCATTTTTCAATAGCTTTGCTGCACATTACAGTGACCTTTCAGTACATTCAGCGCTGCAGGGAACTAGACTTGGAAAATGGTCAGTTTCACAATACCAACTAATGTCTTCACAATGACACAATACTCACCTGGACAGTTTGAGGGAATTATTGATATATGTGCTGACAAGTGGTGTTAAGTCATACACCCCACTGATTAGCACAAAGCCTTTAAGAAGCCTGAATACACTGTCATCCAACTGGTCTAACCACTTGGAAAACAGAAGCATAGCTACCAACTGTGCCCCTGCAGAGTGACCACAAAACCAAAGAGATCTGTCAAACACAAAAGCAGACTTATATAAAATATCATTGTTTATCTGGTCATTTAAGAATTCTGCTATATTTAACTACTTGCAAGCAGCAGTACTAGAAATTGAATAATTATCTTTTTTAACAATGTTTTGTCATGTGAATAATTAGAGGGTTAAACAGCTTTACTAGGAAGATGAATTAGGAAATGATTATGGCCTCTTTTAATGTAAGAAGCAGCACTTGTCTTAAGGGACTTATGGAAACCACCAGGCAGGATAATCAGTGTCAGAGTGGAGTTGCAGATTCAGGACTTCCAGAATATGAAACAACACTTCAATAAAATTAAATTATGAGAAGGTTAAATCAGTTAAAAAGAAAAGTTTCATTCTACAAAAACATGTATGTTCTTGTCTTGGTAAATATATTAAATTGTAAATTTAGCTGTGGTTTTGTATGGATGTGAAGTTTGTTTCCTCACACAAGGGGGATGACCAAACTTAAGTTTTCTTCAGACAGAATTTAGAGATACCAAGATGACTCAGACTTTTGAGGATACTTTGACAAGTCAATATCACAGGCAGAAATCAAGGTCACACTAATATTTAAGCAAGTCCAAGACAACTAAATTAATTGGAGAACAGTTATAAATAAAATGATATTTTCTCAGCTTGTGAAGAAATTCCATACATTTTATGGAATCCAAAGATTCATTACCATATCATAAGAGCCTACCACTGGACCCAGTCAAGCCACTTGAATCCAAACCACTCTCACAAGCTATTTCCATAAGATCCATCTTACTTTTTCCTCCCATCTATGCCAAAGTCTCCCAAGTGATCTCTTCCCTTTAGGCATTTTGATCATGCATGTTGCATGTCTTACAGTCCATGAATGTAATCTTGAGACTTGCAAGGAATGCGAGAAGTCCATAGTGTTAAAGGCAGATGCTATCGTTCCTCCTTTATCCCACTTCCTCACCCCACAAGTCTCAAGATTACAGTTGTGGACTGTACTGATGTCATCCTCCTTGATTTGATCACCCTAATAATGCTGATGAAGAGTAAGGTAGGGCAACACTTATCAAAATAATATTTAAAATCTAGCTCCAACCTCCAAAAACTACATCACATTTTTATTATCAGTAACAATCAGTTAAAAACAATCTCGGAACTAAATACATGACGATGAAGCATGGAAACATTGTCACATGAAGGCATGAGCTGAAAATATCCAGAATTAACACTAACTGTTTGATTAAAACCACTGGCATGAAAGAGACTGCACTATGCATGTGACCAAGAGGGAATACTAGCAAGCCTAAAATGTGCTGGCAACCGTAATAATACCTTGTTCCAAATTTGGCAGCCATATTGAGAATGTATTCTGCTGCTTCTTTGATTTCTTCTACAATCTCACTCAACTTCACTAGAACAGAGAAACAGAATGATTGTTAGATTCTTCGGTTTACAAACATTCACAACACTGAGTGAGCCATCTTTTCATAAATCCTGTTTAACTATGCAATGTAAAAAAGTTATTTTGAGAAAACTGGGTTTTTAGAAATTTCATTGCAAGTTATTAACCAATTTTAACTTTGGAACAAACTGGACAATACTGTACATCACATACCCCCCCCCCCTTTTTATATTCACTACAATATCATACTTTATTTGGTTTCCTAAGATTTCTGTAAGATTTCCCAGCCAACATTTTGCAAGCATTTATTGTTTTGACCATACATGCTACATGTTCCATCCATCTTATTCTTCCTGCTTTAATAACTGTAACAAGACTAGAAAGGTGTAATCCACAGTGGCATAAACACTGTGCAAAGAATGTATAATTCTAGAAAATAATATCACTGGGACTTTCTTTATTTTTTCCTTCATATCCTTCATGTAAACTGCATGTGATGCTAATCTTATCCATGGTGTTTTAAATGCTTTAACAAATTCTAGAACATGAACTTCAATTGAGAGAGTGACCTCTTGGTGCAAGGTCATATCCCAAAATGATGACTCTGATCCCAGACTGGTACTGAGGTACCACACAGTATGCTGATATGTCGCGGCTTAGTTCTTGCCAATAGCCGCCATGTATGTATACCAATATGGGGGCATCTGCAGAGAAGAGAGACAATGAAAAGTTTCGGAACAACAAAAACCACAGAAATATTGTTAATGACTGAAGAACAGAGAAATTTGTGTACAATGCACATGGCAGTAAATTACAAAGTAAAGTAAAGCTGTCCCACTATACGCCATGTAGGCGCTTGGGGGGAGTGGAGGTATAGCTCCTACTCATTCTTGACCTCGGCACTAGATAGGGGTGAGTGGACAGCATCACAAAGATTAAATAAATTAAAAGGCTGAGGCACAATTCTGTTTAATAAGTTGTGCACATAACTCATGGACAGGAGGAAACAGTTCAACATTTAATAGCACTGCAATGAATATCACTCCTGCTTCTTCATGTTCACAAGTGTCTGGTTTGAATATCACCTATGATGATAGAGGTTTCTCACAGATTACTCAGTTTCTCAAAGTATATGCTGGAAGAGCGCTTTAAAATAGTCACTACAACACTGTAAAATAGTTGACTAAACAAACAATGATATATATCAACTGAAAGGATAAACAGATTCAAATATGAGAGGTTGATTTATGAACAGTGAGCCAGAAGGGTTAAATAAAATAGCAGTCATTGTTATTTACTGTGTACTAAGAAAGTTATATGAACAATAAGGCACCTAACAGTCGAGAGCTCCTCCTACATATTTACAAAAGGATTAAACTAAAATAAAATAAAACATCTGTTAATTTGTTTTCCTTCTATGTTATGAAAGAGATCATGACATGTATTTTGTTATTCCAAAAGAATGCCAATTAACCATTTCAAAGAATCCAGCATACTGTAACAGATTTCATAGGAAGCTAGTACTGTCATTCTGTAATGGCAATGACCCCTTGTCATTTATCTGCATCATATTTACTGCTAGCTTTTACATCTTCCCCATCTGTACATGAGGACATTCCATGTTTAAATCAATGCTAGAAATTAGTATTAATAGTTAAGAACTGTAAATCACAATGACTTAGACTTGCAAAGACAAATGAATGACAGAAGTCTGGGAACAACTGCAAGGAAAACAAACATATTCAATTCACTGACAGCAGAAAACTTGTCTTGCTTTGTTGTAATTACCATGTGGCAGTGACTTCCCTCCAAACAGATCCAGAATTTGTCCTTCCTTTGGCCCATACTTCACACCACATTCAACTGGTACTTCCTTCCTTGCAGCATCACTGGCTTAAGATGAAAAACATCAGATTCAAACAAGATGGCAAGACTGGGGGTCTTAGATTATTTAATGATATTCTATTAAATACACTTAGAATACCACAAAGCAAATCTGCTCAGAAAGATCACAGGTAGGACATGACAGAATAAAGATGTCCACTCAAAATGTTAACCAGAAAGGATTACTGAATGAGAAGGATGACAACATTTAGGAGACTTAGATTATGCTGAAGAATCTTGAAGAAATATGTTGTGAGAATGTTGACTGGTTTAAGATGCGGTCTGATGGATTATGATGACACAAAACTTTATCAGAAACCACAAACTGCTCATAAAGACGTTGCATCATGGAATTAGTGATGTACAGAGCACCTAAAATGATATTTAAATCTTGCAGAATGTCCACAAAAAAGTACCCATATTTCACAGTTATAACTGAAGGACAAATCCTAACAATTAGTGATGGGTTACAGCTAAACTATGCCACCATTGTGTTCATACAGCTCCAGAATCCACCTAATCCCTGGGGTTATAACAGCTCCTTCCCCATGCGTAAAATAATTTGATTATGAAGTTATCATTCACTAACATCTAGTGCTACAGTTAAAAGTGTGGACAGCTTTTTTTTTAGGTTCCATAAACAGTATTACTGAGTGATGCTCAAGACTGTAACTTTACCTTATTACCAGTCCTGCCATATTTGCAATTATTATAATATTATTACCCTATAATAAAACAAATAATAATTTAAATTAAATTATTTGGTTATTCCGTCAAATCACAATGTATTTAAAATAAGATAATTAAAATAATTAAAATATAATTCTGTGTTCCATATCGAATAATCGATTTACAATTGGAACAGTTACAACATGTTTCGGTTTTATTAAACCATCATCAGGTGTAAAATTATATTAAATTTAAAACTCAATTACAATTTTTTACAATTTTTCGTAGTGTAGTTTTTTGGAGGTCGTGTCCAGATATTTTCATATAATGGATCAACTTTATTGTTTGAAGTGATGCTTTTGATGTTTACATCGGTCAGAGATGAAATAGTAGACAACACAGTTGTGTCTGGAGGTGATCCAGAAGTATTACCGTATCCGATCAAGGTTTATTACTGAATTACTATTTTAAATACATTGTGATTTGACGGAATAACCAAATAATTCTATTTTAATTTAATAAATCACAATATGACGCAACTACACTATTTTATGAATAATAATTTAATTTTCTCCTTCATTATTATATAAACATTAAAATATAAGTTTCATAAAATGCCCTGCACTAACACCATTAGAAAAACAAAATAAAATCAGCAATTTATATCTGAAATTTCCATTCCAGAATCAAACCGCATTTTAAGCATGTATGTCTCCTAAATATTTACAGCAACTTGCAAAAAATTACTCCAAACGCATTAGATGCACTAAACAACTTGGCTAGTCCAAGACCTGTATTAAGTACAGCTAAGAACCTGCAGTGATGAGTTGTATGTGATTTGCTATCACAGCTGCAGGGTCCTGGAATCGCTGTGACCAGAAGCTGGGTGAATACTGAAGAGTCAGTTCCTTGAAAACACAAAACTGGAATGATAGCCACAACAAAACATAATAATTCAAATGAGGGCAACAAGAAGAAAAAACATACATATAAGACTGCCATCTTAGATCCTTTTCAACTTAGAGGATTGTCTCAAGCGGCTTAGTTCGTAGGCGGGAAAAAAGAAAAAAGAAAAAAAGAAAAAAGAAAGAAAAAACTGTAAAAATGATAATATTTTGGTTTCTTGTGACCAGAACCACCTAACATCTGCTGGGAGTATGTACATACAACACAACAGAAAAATTACTTTCAATTATGTTCAATAAAACATCCAAACCTAAGGATGAAGTATGTCCTCCGGTAATTGTACAATTGGAACACCAAGGAGATCACTAAATAATATTAACATAAATATCAGAGAGAATGTTCGAGTATGCAATCGTGTGTGTGAAACCATCTTGAGATGGTGTCTGATGGCGGGACAGAACTTTAAAGTCGTTACTATACTGTGTAAGTGAAGCTTAATTTCAAACAAAGAAGGATGGAAAAAAACTACATGATGAGGAACTTCAAAATTTATACTTATCACCACTAGTTATTAGAGCAATGGAATAAAAGACAACTCACCTCTGTATCCATAACTGTTTCTCCACTACAGGATCAGCATGAAATAATAAATCGCGGTTTAAAGCCGGCGCAGCAGTCAACCTACGGGCCGAACTAACTTAACCGATGGAACAAAGGACCCCACATTCGCAAAAAGGTAAAACGTGTCTCCCTTAGGATATGGCAGTCTGTAGGGTCACTTACTTTACAAGTTTTGCTTATCTTTTACGGATAGAAACGACAGTTAGCACTAAAACCCAAGGTCGTTACGAACCCATACAAATTACAGTCAACTCAAATCAAATGGAAGGTACCAAACCGTCTATAACAACGGTGATACCACTTAGCACATGAGCGACTGTAAAGGTCGGCTCGAAAATGCCGCATTGCAGTCTCAGCCACGACACACTGAAACATATATCAGGTTTCACACCCGGAAAACCACTTCAAGCAAACTTCACGGTCTAATGCGTTTGTAAGTATTACAAGAACGTCTGCCGTCAACAGAACTAAGTTGTTTGCCGATAACAAATGTGACTAACTGAACGTCATATTTGGCGATTTCTTGGACTGAATTATAAAGTTTTCATCCCTGCCAGTTGGTAACAGGTTAATTGATGCATCTACGGTAAATCAACATTATATACTGCTGGAAAACGTGAATGTATTTGACACCTTTTGAATGACGAACAATCGAAATTACAACACACAAAATATGGGTTAGATTAAAAAAAATCAATACACAGAGCCTTAATCAGAGTCAAGGTCACATTAACTAAACATTCGTGTTGGACACCAATATAAATAAAACAACACACTAATTCAATTCGACTTCAAATTATTCAGTGTTTAATTTTTCGAAATAAATTTTAACGGACGGTATTCTGCATCAGCTGAACATGGCGACCCGCGCACGAATTTTCGAAATAGACAATGGATAGTCGGAAATTGATGAAATTCTGTATGGACGTCGTGCCACAGGTAAGAAATAGAAATTCATACTCTTTCGTGTCGCAAAAAGTGTAATTAATTCACACGAAGGCATCAAAGTCGCGAGGTGGAAGAAACGCGTAATCGGTCACCATCACCAATATCCGACTATATCAACAGAGCAGTTATGCACTCGATATATTTTAAATTAAATTTTGGCATGTGTATTAATAATATTTAAGCGTAAGAAGACCACAAAATACAATTCAACAACCACAATTGCGTAAAAACATGCATAAGTGACGTGAGCCAACTGTATTGCGAGGTCCACAAGTAGGTAACCAATGTAAAATCTTTGAAGTATAAAGCCATGGTACTGACTCAAACACAAGATTGTTCCATAATTTAAGAAAATTGAAATATTTCAGTGTTTAATTTCCCGCAATCGATAATGGAACTCATACGAGGCCTTAACATAGACAATCTGCATCACGCCACTGCGCATCAACTTCTGCGCAGATGCCCCATTAACCTAACCTAACCTAACCCAACT